TATAATATACCTCATGTATTATTGCATAACTTTCGATATTATAATTAATCACTTCAATGAAAAAAGTCAATTCATTTCAATGAATATTTCCTTCGTTAGAAATTCATTAAAATTTTTCACATTTATTTGCAAAAAAAGTTTAAATATTCTCAAGCATTGATTTTAAACATTTTTTGTCAATAAAATTCAACAGTAAGTGTAGTTTTTATATATAAACATACTTTTCCTGAAATATTATTTATAATATACACGATAAACGTATCTAAAGATAAGTTACAACTGTTTTTTAGATATATTTAGTCTCAAGTATTTAATGTTTTATTCATTAAATTTTAATAAATATTTCACAATTCATTCATGCATTCACTCAATAGTGAATCAATAAATCAAATTCCAATCCATTGAACAGATTAATGGTTTTTCTTAATAAATATCACCAAAAGTAATCAATTGTTAGACGTTATAAAACTTAAGTTTTATTTTCAGCAGACAATCACTAATCAATGATTAGTAATCATTAAAACATTAATTTTATTGATATGAGGCAACAGTATTTTTATATGTTATTATCTTTAGTAAAGGATTACACAGTAATCTTAGGCAACAATTTTCTAGACTTAATAATTGCACCTAAATTTCTCTACTTTTCTCTCGTTTAATGAAATATTGATTAAAACAATGCTATTTTGGCATTAATTCAATGACTCACTTATGGTATAAAATAACAAAACCTTATTTTTACGTTTAAATTGTAATGATATAACAAAATGTCAAACTATATCTCAAGTATTTTTCATTGTTGTCATTGAATTTCATGCATTAGTCTGAAAATCAATTGGTTTTTTATCAATCAGTTTCCGAGAATTCACACACGAATACAATATATATTTCAATTCATTTGAATAAAACTGAAACAACTTTTACATTAATATAGAGGGCATAGAAATAAAATATAAAACTCATCGCTAATATCATTGAATGCTGATTTTTCTTGTAATTATCATTGAATTTAAATGATATGTATTGAGACATGAATTACATGCAAATCATTTTCCACTCAATTATCCATTACTTGTATCGTAAACAGCGATTACTTGTTGTAATTGTGTTTTCAATTAGTATTGCAAACACTTTAATGTTTGAGTTTTTAAAAAAAGTTTTGCAAACAATCAAAAGTTCTGTTATGTATGCAATCGCTATAATAATCACTTGTATTATATGTTTCGACACTAGTTTTTCTCGTTATTCAATCGTCTATTAACTAACAATTGAACGAAAAGTAAAAAATATTTAAATAGTTTTCAAAAAAGTCAATTAAAAATGATAATGAAAAGTGAATTTTGAAACAAATGTTTGAGAAAAACGTATACATTGTGTGAGTTTTGCGATGAAAATGTATGAATAAAGCGAGTATTTGATTGAGAAATACGTGACGTATAAGCGGTGTATGAGTTGTGAGTTTTGCGTACAAAACGCCTATACATTGAATGGGAGAAAAGGCATTGAATTGAATGCACTTTCACTACAACTCTGTACACACACTGCCAGTCAGTATTGAGTGTTGGCTTTCTCTCNATGAGTTGTGTATGAGTTGTGAGTTTTGCGTACAAAACGCCTATACATTGAATGGGAGAAAAGGCATTGAATTGAATGCACTTTCACTACAACTCTGTACACACACTGCCAGTCAGTATTGAGTGTTGGCTTTCTCTCCAACACTACTCTCTGTGTCTCTCTCTCCTTCTCTCTCTCCCTCTCCCATAGACTCTCATCGACTCTCTCCTCTCTCTCTCACTCTCTGTGCTCTCCATTCAAGTAAAACACTATTTATTGTATGATTTAATACATGTCTCCACACATTGTATATCCATTGCCACCACTAATAGCACTAATGAACGCAAATGTCATATAAAACACACCGTCTTCTCCACCAACTCATAGCACTGTCCCCAACAAAAGTCACCACCAATTGGTCCCAAACTCTTTGATTAACTGTTGGTGTGATCGCCATAAATGTGCGCTTAGTTTGTGTGTGAAGTGAATGTGAGATCACTATAAGTGTTGTGTTGTTGTTGTGGTCGTCGTTGAAAATGGAGGCAGAGTTTGATGACTACGACAAACACAACAAATGGCAACACATCTATCAGGTCTGTCATTGTCTCACACCTCACCACTCATACCATTGCCATCACATCCACGCGAATGTGTGTCGACGTGTCTGTCGTCGGCGCACATCTCCAGTGTTTGTCTGATCCGGCGATCACTGCCTCTCATCCACTTGTTTTTGTTACTCATATTCTTGTGTCCACTCTTTTCCTCCGCAGAAAATCAGATACCAGTCATCGGACGACAATCTGACGAACAAAGAGAGCCGAAAGTCGGAGAATAAGCCATACAATCGATACAAAGATGTGACGCCATGTAATGACACCCGAAGAATGACTACTCTTTTCATTTGATAACTAATTATTGTTTTCCTCTGCAGACGATTGGAGTCGTATTATATTGAGAAGAAGTGACAACAACTACATTAACGCCAGTCTTATAAAAGTAGATTCCGCTCAAAGACAGTATATTCTGACACAGGTTTGCCATCGGATCCGCTATTAACGGCCACAAACACTGACCGCTGTTTTTGTTATGTATTTTAGGGTCCGTTAGCCATAACGAGTGGTCACTTCTGGCTAATGATTTGGGAACAGAACTCGAAGGCTATACTAATGTTGAACCGATTGGTAGAAAAGGGACAAATCAAATGCCATCAGTATTGGCCAAATGGCAGAGACGACAACGATTGCGATGAACTCACGTTCACTGATGTGGGCCTCAAAGTGGTGTTCATCGATGAGACCAAGTCTCCCAACTATATCACCAGAAAATTCAAATTAATCGACATCGAGGTCTGTCCCACAGATTGTCAACTCATCATTCAATGTATAATGAAATTTGTTTTGTAATGTATTTCGTAGAGCAATGAGTGGCGAGAAGTGCTTCACTATCACTACACGTCATGGCCTGACTTCGGTTTGCCTGAGAGTCCGGCCTCTTTTCTCGAGTATTTATACGCCATCCGAGAGTCGGGAGTATTAGATATGAAAGAATACGGACCTCCGGTCATACACTGTAGTGCGGGTATCGGTCGGTCGGGAACACTATGTCTCGTCGATTCGTGTCTTATAATGGTATGCAATCACTGTTTGCAGTTGTGTTGAAAAACGATTGATTGTATTTGTCTATTGTATAGATTGAACGGTTCGGCCGATTGGATGCCGTGAATGTAATGGACGTGTTGTTAGATATGAGGAAATACCGAATGGGTTTAATCCAAACGGCAGAACAGTTACGGTTCTCCTATTTGGCTATCATTGAGGGCTCGAAACAGCTCTCTTTGACGACAACACCCAACGACACAACAGTGCCTTTTAGTGCTAATAATAACTACAAAAGTAAAGCCATTTCACCAAAGATTCACCGATCATTCGCTATTAACGAAGACATGGATAACAGTGCGGATGAGTACGCGTTTGAAGACAGTTACACACCAGAAGTGAATACAATGTGTGCCACTTTGCCTCCTCTGCCGCCCCGTTCTCGCCGTTCGTTCAGCACTACTTCCCAACAGTCGGACTCGACATCACCCGAACCCGACTCGAAGAGAACCAAATGCGACTCATTATCATCCGTCCCAACACTACAACTACAACACGATATGATCTCAAGTGAAGACTCAGCCAATCATTACGAGCTAACGAACAATTCTAACAACAATTCATTAAATAATGAAAAGAGTGATTACACGTCACAAACGCCAGACAGTGAACACAAACGAGACGTACGCCGACGGCTGCGCGAAGACAGACACCGCAAGACTGCGGAGACCGTTGAGGGCATTAAGAAGAAGTTGAGAGAATCGGAAGACAGGTCTCGATTTAGCAAACAATTAGTTAAATATAGTCTCCTTTCGTTGGGTTTTGTTTTATTGTTCGGAACCGGAGTTTTCATGTATAGCTCACTAATGAAAGGCCAGATTTCACTCAATTCCGATACAATAGCGCCAAATGTTGACGAATTGTAAAAACGATTATTAATTAATTGCCATATTTTTGTCCCTTATTTTCTTTGTCAATACTATTCATTTGCTATTCATTTAGTTATCAGATAATAATATTTATTATTATTATTATTTTATAGTTTTTCTTAATTGTTCTTAAAAATGATTGAATAATTTGTGTAAACGTTATCTTAAAGTATGTTTTCTTGAATACCTTTTTTTCTCCACTTATAGGTTGTCACCGAAAAGACGCTTAAATTAGATTTGGACTCAATTTGAAATTTTAATTCATTTTTTAATCATTATTTTTTCGCATATAATTGTATCTCTAATTTGTGTTCAATATATACAGTAATAATGTTGTCATAAATATATTTCAAATAAAACTTAATTTAAGTTCATTTAATTGTATGTTTTATTAAAATCATTGATCTAATCACAAATATATGTTTAAAAGTTTTGGATCAAATTAATAATACAGTACTTATAACTTAAACCCCTTTCGATCGTAACGTTGTTTGCGATCAAATAGTATATGAAATTCATACAAATTTTGTAATGAGTTGTAAACGTAAACACATTTCATAAACGCTTTTATAGTAAACGTGTTTTCATTCACACAAACAATACTTTTCGTGGTTTTAATACAATTTATTTCAGCAGAGTTTCAATTGATTACTCAATTGTCTTCATATCACCGTTTATCTGATCCGTAAGTAGTGTTGACTCAAAACAACACATACCGTATGTCATGACACGAGCGCTGATCTCATAATAAACACATATTTCATCAGAAATTGTCTCACATTTCATACCATATCTTGAAATCTGTTTTTATTTAACAGTAAGTTTTGAAGTCATTTACAAATCGCCTGTCAATCGTTCAGTTGATCCCAACGATGGCCTCCAATAACGCAATGAACGCTCAATCGATTCGCCAGACATTCATCGACTTCTTTAAAGACAAATACAGTCATCTGTACGTCAAGTCATCGTCGGTTATACCACACGAAGACCCGACTCTTCTGTTCACAAACGCCGGAATGAATCAGGTTTTCACTCAATCACCGCATCTTCGGCTCAAATGATAATCTAATTCTGTGTTTGTAATCATTATTCAGTTTAAGCCCATATTCTTGGGAACCGTTGACCCGAACAGTGATTCGTCGAAATACGTACGAGTGGTGAACAGCCAGAAGTGTATCCGCGCGGGCGGTAAACACAACGACTTGGACGACGTCGGCAAAGATGTCTATCACCACACGTTCTTTGAAATGCTCGGCAACTGGTCTTTCGGTGACTTCTTCAAGAAGGAGATCTGTCGCTGGGCTTACGAACTGCTCACTGAAGTGTATGGTCTGCCCAAAGACCGGCTATACGTGACGTATTTCGGCGGTAATCCCGAGAGCGGGTTAGCGGCCGACGAGGAATGTCGACAGACATGGTTAGACATTGGGCTGCCGTCCGATCGGGTGCTGCCCTTCGGAATGAAAGACAACTTCTGGGAAATGGGCGAAACGGGTCCGTGCGGTCCCTGTTCTGAGATACACTTTGACCGCATCGGTAACAGAGATGCCTCGAGTTTAGTCAATATGGATGATCCGGACGTCCTTGAGATCTGGAATCTGGTGTTCATTCAATTCAATCGCGAAACCGACAGTTCGCTCAAACCGTTGCCCAAAAAACATGTCGACACAGGAATGGGTTTCGAGCGACTCGTGTCTGTAATTCAGCAAAAGTCGTCCAATTATGACACCGATTGCTTCGTTCCCATCTTTGACGCCATTCAACAGTTGACAGGTGTTCGACCCTATAGTGGGAAAGTAGGCGCCGACGACGTGGACGGCATTGATATGGCCTATCGGGTGGTCGCAGATCACGCGCGCACTCTGACCATCGCTCTGTCAGATGGCGGCCGACCCGACAATATAGGCAGGGGTTATGTTCTGCGAAGAGTATTACGGCGAGCCGTCCGTTACGTTGAAAAACTTGGCGGAAAACCCGGAGTTTTTGCTTCACTCGTTCCGGTTGTGATCGAATCGTTGAGTTCTGTATTCACTGAACTCACGAAAGATCCACAAAATGTGATGAATATTATTAATGAAGAAGAGATTCAATTCTTGAAAACCCTTTCGCGAGGAAAACGACTCTTAGAGCGAACTATTGATAAAATGAAAGCCCAGAACCGAACTGTACTTCCGGGTGATATCGCGTGGAGACTTTACGACACGTACGGCTTTCCCGTCGACTTAACGCAACTGATGGTCGAAGAGACGGGCTTTTCAGTCGATTTGAGTGCTTACGAGAGTTGCAAAGCTGAGGCACAACTGAAATCTCAGAGCAAATCATCTCAATTTGACTCCGGAATTGATTTAGACGTCCATTCGATCGCAGAATTGAAAGACAGTTTACAAATTGCGGTCACAAATGATTTGCCGAAATATGACTACCGATCGGTCGACGAAACCCCGAAATCTGTTTACACGTTCGAGAAATGCGAGGCAAAGGTTGTGGCCTTAAGAAAGAGTAAGCAGTTTGTGTCGGAAGTGGTGGCCGGAGATGAGTGTGGAATCCTTTTGGATAAGACATCCTTTTATGCTGAGGCCGGCGGACAGGAATACGACACCGGATTTATGAATAAAACGACCGCTTCTGACGACGAAGAGACCGAGTTTGAGGTGAAGGAAGTGAAAGTTCACGGCGGATATGTCCTCCACATCGGACACGTCGGGTGCGGTGTTGTCAGAGTTGGCGATACATTAAAGTTGCAAATCGATGAACAGAGACGTAAACTTATAATGAATAACCACACGGGAACTCATGTCCTCAACTATGCTTTGCGCTCTGTATTGACAACTGATGCCAACCAAAAAGGATCGCTCGTGTCTTCAGATAAACTACGATTTGATTTCACTAATAATGTGAGTAATGATTGTTTGACAGCTCTTTAAATGCTCTTAAAATGGTTTTAATTGTAATTATTTATATATTTTAGGGCGCAATGAGTGCCTCACAAGTCAAACAAACCGAGAGTATTGCCCAACAGATGATCGCTAAGAATGAAGAGGTTTTTGCAAAGGACTCGTCGCTGGCGTCCGCTAAAGCTGTTCAGGGTTTGCGCGCAGTGTTTGACGAGACATATCCCGATCCGGTCAGAGTTGTCTCCATTGGAGTGTCTGTCGATGCCCTGCTGTCAGACCCAACGGGTCCCGCGGGAACGCAAACGTCAGTCGAGTTTTGCGGCGGAACTCATTTGAAACGAAGCGGACATATCGGCGACTTTGTCATTGCCAGCGAAGAGGCCATCGCTAAAGGCATTCGTCGTATTGTCGCTCTGACGGGTCCCGAAGCGACCAAAGCTTTAAATAAAGCAACCCTTTTGGATAAGTCGGTCGCCAGTCTGAAGGCCAGCATTGCTAACAAATCCAATAAAGAGTTTTATAAGGAGAATGTGAGACAAGTAGTGGAACTGACGGATGAGGTCTCGCAGTCGAACATTGCCTATTGGAAGAAGGATGAGATCAGAAACGAATTGAACCAAATGAAGAAACAGTTGGATTCGGTGGACAGGGCTAACAAAGCCGCACAACAGACACAAGTGATCGAAACCGCAAAATCTTTGGCCCAACAGTTCAAAGGAACCAAATTCCTTGTGACCGCTTTGGACGCCGGCTCTAATGCTAAGGCCTTGGACTCAGCCCTCCGACAGATCCGAACCCTATCGCCAGACACTGCGGCCATGTTTTTCAGCGCCGATGAAACCAAAGTTATTTGTTTGGCATCCGTTCCGTCGAATGCAGTCGCGTCTGGTCTTAAGGCTAACGAATGGGTCCAACAAATCAGCGCAACTATTAATGGAAAGGGAGGCGGAAAGGAAGAGTCATCGCAGGCCAGCGGTACTAATGTCGGCGCCATTAATGATGCGATACTACTGTCCAAACAATTCGCTGAATTAAAGTTAGGAAATAATGCTTAATGTTTGAGACAATTGTGTTATTTATGAATATTTTAATAATTATGGTATAAAACCATTAAATTTTTATAATTTTTTGGCTATCAATAAAAGTTTTTTAAATAAAATTAATTATTTGTTTTAATACAATTAAATCTCTCTCTCTCTCTCTCTCTCTCTCTCTCTCTCTCTCATCAAAAGATTATATAATTGTTATGATTGATATTTATAGCGCGGGATAATTGAATTAAAGTTAACTGTATTATAAAAACTGTTTGATAATCGCGCGAAACAATTACTGAATTATGCGGTCAATACAATCGGTGCTCAGAATTGTTTGAATTAATTAATTCTCAGTTTGTATTGAGTTGTAAACCGTTAGCAAAAGTTGATAACAGTGTTAACAGTAATGTCTGTTTTGATTACAATGTCTCGCAAAATGTCTTCAGTTATTGTCTTCTATTACTTCTTCATTGTCTTTGAGAGTTCAGTCAGAGGTTCACCCGATTTGTGTCGAAATGCGGCCAAAATTAATTCAATCGCTTATATCGACGATCAGAAGACATACTTCTTCACGAGTGAGGGTTACTATTGGCTCATCAATGAAACAGAGTTTCCGCCCAAAGAGTTTGGTAAACCACTTCCCGCGGGCTTCAGAGTCGGCGACTCTGCCATGTATTGGAACTCTCAGAAGAGTTGTCCCGAATCTAACCCTCAAAGACAACAACAAATCCATTTGATTGAAAAGACGGCTACAATTGGAAATCAGATAATGGTTTTGGATTTACTGACAAACAAATGGTCCGAAAATTCGTTTCCATACAAATCCTCGCGAACTATAAGAAAGGCTTCCGTTAAATGGGATCAACCAATTGATGGTCTCTTTATATACGATAAAACAAATCTAATGATCGCTCAGAAACTTCAGTACGAAGTGATTGATATAAAGCCGTTATGTGAGGGACAGACAGACGGACAGCCATTAGGTCTGCAATCCATCAGTGATTTTGGCGAAGAAGTGGATGCGCTCACAATTGTCAACCAAACCCGACTCCTTCTGTTCAAAGGCATCCATTTCTGGATTCTTGACATTAAATCGTTCAGAAACGGAAAGTTTACGACAATTAAACACAGCAAACGGAATATAGTGAACCACTTCTTCAAATTCAATGGCAGCTGTGTCTCACCGACAGGTGATCCCTATCCCAGCGCTCAGCCAAACAATGTCACAACAAAATTACCAAATGCTTCGCTTACTGTTAACACAACTTTGGCAAAGAGTGTCAAAGAGTCAAAGGATGGCAACAATAAGTGGTTTTTCATCATTTCAGTCATTCTGATCGCAATTATTCTACTCATTGTATTGGCTTTCATATGCGTTCTCTTCGTTCGCCACAAGAAAACGAGTCGAAAAGCGGCCGATTCTCAAAGCAAGTCAAGCGATGGCCTAAAATCAAAGTCGAAAGCCAAAAGTCGAAAGTGAACACAACTTTATACCCGATTCTCTTAATCTCTTTGCGATCAAAATTGAAAACAACTTTAAATATTGAAATATTTATTATAAATATGTTTTATTACAATGAAATTTACAATAAAATGTTAAGAAATTAAATAATAGACTCTCTATTGTGTGACAGTTGGTCTAATGAAATGACATCAATGTCTTCGTGGGGACTCTTCATCGGCAGATTAGCCTTAGCCCACTCTAGTCTAGAAATAATCAGTTCTCTTCTCGATTGAAGTCTCTTTTTAGTGACCATTTTCTTCGTGTATTTATTGATTTCAGTTTTGGTGTCTTTCCTATGATTTGTGTCCAATTTCTCCAATTGTCTCAATTCTGTCTTTCGTTTTAATTTGTCTGCTCTTCTCTTTAGCTGTCGTTTCGTTAAGTTTTCTTCCTTTAGTGATGCGATCGGAGTATTGGATTCATTGCTCTCATTATTTGTGGTCATATTTTGTGCTTTAATTTCCTAAATATAATGATATTTAAAATGTTAAATACATTTGCTTTTAATAGTGAGTGAAAGACATGTTTTCATTTGACTCAATATTTTGAGATAATTTCTAAATATTGATTCAAATCATATCAAATGACACGTTATTCTTCACTCACATCCATATTATCACCTTTTGGTAGTTCTGTTCCCTTGTCAACGAAGAACAAATCTCCGCCATCTATAGTGTCCTCCGGTTTATGGCGTTTAAGAGGGTTGTCATCACTCGTGCCATAAAGAGTCTGTTCTTCGTCTTCATCTTCTTCAGTAGTTCTGTTCCCTTGTCAACGAAGAACAAATCTCCGCCATCTATAGTGTCCTCCGGTTTATGGCGTTTAAGAGGGTTGTCATCACTCGTGCCATAAAGAGTCTGTTCTTCGTCTTCATCTTCTTCGTCATCACTTATGGAAATCTGGTCCGGATTTGGCAATGGTTTCAATGCCTCAATAATGGCTGCCATGGGATCAGTTATGCCCAATCTTTTGCAAAACTCAACGGTTCGTGGATTAGTGTAATTACGAAGCCTTTGTGGGTCACTATCACTGTCTTCGAGCGCCGGTTCCGACACTTCAAAGTTTTGGGGAATCTCTAAATCATTATCAAAGAGTTGTTTGACACCATTTATATCGCTTTCGGTCACCTTATGAAGAGTGGACCACATGGCAGGCACTGAACACTTCCTATCAATACTCAACAACTTGTCGGTCGACTTAAGTATAGCCAACCACTCGGCGTCGTATTCAAGACAATCACTACTCGATGGTAACGACGGCTCGATATCAAGGATTTCCATGTATTGTCTGTTTGGCAACACTTTGTCGAGCGCTAAGAAGCGGGTCTGAACCTTAAGGTCTTCCGTATGATTGACCAGCGCTTCAAACCTCACGTGAAGATGTGCTGAAAACCAATGTCTGGGCTTTAAGTGTCGGACGAGTGGTTCAAGTAATGGATTTCCCAAACAATTGTTTTGTATGTCATTTAAGAAGTGCTTCTTTCGCCGCAACAAATACTGAACGTTACCACAGCTGTGGATATTAATGGGCCAGTCGTGTGATATCATCACATCCAACGTCTGCTTCCCGTCGTCGGCATCGGTTCCGGCGTTCAATTGCATCAGTTTATAGACATCCGATTGTCTCATATGATAGATACTTCGCTTCGAGCTCTCATCGAAAGGCAGTCTTTCAAAGTGACCGCAATTGGCGTCAAACCTGTGATGAATGCCAGACACGCCTCCGATCCGCACACCTCTGAAGTTGACAACAGAGGCGTAACCCATGTAATAGATATTGTCCGCAACCCAACCACCGAAGCCCAGTGTCTGCAAATAGTTGGACGCCTCGTGATTGCCGCCCACGAAGAGTGTCAACTTCGGTGCCGTCACTACTCGGCGGTAATACTTGTGAAATGTCCGCAATTCCCGGTATTTGACCGGAACTGCCATACATTGCAAGTCATGTTCGTTACGGACGGACTGGAAGTCACCGCAAATCACCACCAAATCTATCACAATCTTCTGCTCACTCTCTATACGAGTGATGTCTTCGTAGATCCGATCCAACTCTCCGTGAGAGCAACCGATGACCGCTATCTTCATTGTCTTCGTCACCACTCGTGCCGTCAATTGATATCACTTTTCAATTAAATTCAAAATCAAATCAATGAATGAATGAATGCTTTTGTGAAACACATGTATTGAATGAATGCATTATTTGTTGTTTAAAACGAGCGCTAAATTTGAAACACAAATTGAGTCCTATTTTTAATAATGAGCTCTAATTTGAAAATTGATTTAATAATTGGTTTAACGATACAAATGAACAATTATTTCTCCTCTAATAATATCTTCTTCTCTTTTGTTGATTATGTGGTAATTATTTGCAGAAGTAATTAATAGTTATCTCGTTTGGTCTGATTATTGAACTGAATCCATGTCTTTCACAAACAATACATGCATTTCTCCAATACTTCATAATTAAAGCAAATCTCATGCAAGCAATGAGTGAATCAATAATTTCTTAATCACTAAAAATACACGATATTTTGTAAAGACATTTACTCTAACATACATTTAATCAATTATTTATATTTATTTTCTCACAACTCATTCAATGCAAATATCGCTCTTTTAGACACAATTCAAACCTCAACTCAAATCCGACTCAAATTGTTTGCGATTTTCCCGTCATATCCTAATAGACTGTTACTATTTGTATTGAATTGAATCTTACGTGAACTAAATTCACTAAAAAAGTTACTAAAAATGGACAAAAGTTCATAACATGTTGTGAAATATTATTGATTTGTACCAAATTGCATATTACGTTAAATGTTTAAAATTGAACTGGTTATTTTAAATATCTATGGATATAATTTTTTATTGCAATAAAATTATATTCTATTTATTTCATATTTAAATAATTTATATTTAAAACCAAAGTTTTTCATAAAATTGTGTAAAAGGTTACTAAAACTGTTTATGGATACGACTAAAAAGGTGCTATTAAGGGACAATTAAGGTGAAATAATAGAGTAGTTTTGCCAAACGTACCCTTAAAAGGTTGAGTATCTATAATGTGTCCCAAAGTTTGAGAACAACTATTTATTTGCTTTCAATTCAATGTCCTGTTATTGTTGTACTTTATCTCTAAATATAGGCTTTTGACAAGAAATTCATGTAAATCTTTGGGAAAATTGGTTTTTAGTGAACAAACTATTGTCGTTATACTTATGTTTGATTGATGTCATAAAAAGAAGTGGAAACGAGTTAATGGTGTCCAACAAGTGGTACATAAAAATAGATTTTTTAGAGAGAGAGAGAGAGAGAGAGAGAGAGAGAGAGAGAGAGAGAGAGAGANATGAAGATAGCGGTCATCGGTTGCTCTCACGGAGAGTTGGATCGGATCTACGAAGACATCACTCGTATAGAGAGAGAGAGAGAGAGAGAGAGAGAGAGATTGATGATTGTAGTATTAAGTCAATATTGTGATTAAAACTAATCAAAAGTAAAAATAAATGAAGCGAAGGTATAAAATGATTATATTTTATATAATATAATGCAAGAGAAAGTCCTGTAAGTAATACATGAATCTCAAGAGTGGATCCGATCGTTAAGAATCGTATTTTTATGTTTTGATGGATTCATTGAACCATAAAATATTGAGTTAACGTTTTGGTTAAAGTCTCGCAATTATTTTGTAGAAAAAACAATTTTAATGACTTTTGAATGATAATTATGAGGGGTATTACATATTTGACAAATTCATGCATAAAATAACAATAATATCAGGTTTTTAAGTATAAACTTCATACAAAATTATATTCATTTGTCGATTATTATTTGTTTTAAAATGAAATAATTGGAAAACTACTGGAAATTATAGTTAAGATTCTGGCGATTAGACAACAAAACTATTTTAATTTAAATTAATTATAGTTCTGAAAGTTTAATAAATGGTTACTCTTATTAACTTTACATTCATATCAGGAATTCACGATATTGTGTGTCTTCCGGTCATCACTAAAAACATTAGAGCAGCAAATTATTCCTTCAAACAAATTCCTGTTTTAAATAAACATAAAATTTCTGTAAATAATAAAAATTAAGTCAGAATTAAGAGTAAAATGTAGTAAAATATTGATTATCAAAGTTATATAACTGTTATATGTGTTGATAACTGATAACTATAAGGAGACGAGTGGTCACAACTGAATGAGTGCTGAGTATATGTGCACTGAAAGGGACGGACAGATGAGAGAAGTGTTGAACGCAAATGGTTTTCCACAGGAATATAACCTAAAATGTGAGGTAAGTTTGCATTACAGGTGAGTCCTATTATGGCCTTCACTGAAAACCCAACAAAAAGGTTTGTCGAAAGAGCGGGTCATTGACTGAAATAACACACAAATACTATAGACTACAGTGTAATGTCTGCATAAAACCAGGGGTTTATATAATTTTGTTCACCATTTGGCTCTCTCTCTCTCTCTCTCTCTCTCTCTCTCTCAAGTGGATTGGTATTGAAAACTGATATTTTTAGTCGAAATAACTTTTTTGTAGTCAAATATACGCTCAAAGAAGTGACACTTTATGACTCTCTCTCCCGTCGACGGATACCTGTGCTGTGGATCTTGTTTTTAGTGATCACGACGTAAACTCACACAACGACCTGTTATGTCACACAACAGTGCATAACATACCTGTGCTTACGATCCACTTGTATATTACCTATGATAATGATTGCCAGCATTGCTCTCATAACCAGTGATTTATTCATCGCTAGTAAGAACTCGTCGATAGAAAAGACTTGTGAGAGAGTGTCATAAAGTGTCACTTCTTTGAGCGTATATTTGACTACAAAAAAGTTATTTCGACTAAAAATATCAGTTTTCAATACCAATCCACTCGTTATGCTGTCATTGGTTTGCAATTATAATCAACTGATAATGAATTACATTATAATTCAGTCGACTCTTTGAGACAACGCTTCAAATGCTAACTAATTTTGAAGTTATGTTTAAATAGATTATCGGAAATATAGTGAAAAAGTTATTTGTGTTGAACAATGAAATCTTCGTTCAATACGAGTAATGGTTACAATCATTACAACAGTAATTACTTGACATTCATTGAGAGTCACCAGAAGACAGACTCATCCCATGAAAGACAATCGCAGTCCAACTGTCGGACACCCATCGCATGGCATAACCGAAGCCTAAACCTCTCACAACCCCTGTCTTTAGTGCAAAGTCCAGTCAACTATCCCACCAAATATCGGCGCCCATCAGCTCAACGCTCTTCCCAAAGACCCTCTTCGCCATCCGCCACAACCACTTCGTCCGATGATAGGGAAGAGGTTCCGATGGTTAGGCATCACATCCGCAGACCCAACAGGTATTTACATTTACTCACATATTTTGCAAATTATTTTGCAATGGATTTAAAACTTTTATTACTATTGTTTTGCGTATTGATTGTACTGATCAGTCGAGTGACCACAAGTAGTGCTATGACTGTCGATAACCGAAGACCACAACACATGATTGCAAACAAATACGGCAATCATATGATGAGTGCAATGATTTCGGGCGAGTATTCAGTTCCGATGCATACCTTCAGAAACGGCACTTTAAGGTCAACTAAAAGTGTTCCCGCGTTAGCGATGGCCACCACAATGGGTGGCGACAGTTGTCCCGTTCACGGACTCGGAGGACATTCAAATGGACTACTGATGCACGCCTGCCATCCCTACTACCCCTCCATTCCCACACAAACCCTTAATTTTCGTCGATTTGGATCTATTTCTGATATGCGAGAGACTCGGCTGCCGATCATCAGCAATGGACTGTCATATTTGGCTCCCATACCCGAAAACAAACAGACGTGTGCACTCATGCCTGTCTACTATTCACAGTCCCAATCGCCACTGTCAGCCCTCCCGGCGCCCAATAACAACATTCCTCTGCAACTAATGCAACAAAAGGCACATCCGATGCATACGACACGTCCGATGATATTTCCTGCTTATGCAGAACCCCTGCCATTTCGCAGCCCTTTCAAAGTCTCGTCTCCCGTCCCATCGCATCACACCATCAAAATGGGAGATAATTATGGCAACAATTCCGATGATATCTGTTGCAGAGGACATCTCATTGTTCTGTGGATAATATTAGGTATCGTCACAGTCGGAGTCATATCTGGGATAATACTCGCCGTCACATTGAATTGACGACCAATTCTCACAGTATTTATCATTGATTTAAATCTCAGTTTTAGTTATTTTCATCACAAAAAGTCTAATTTATTATAAATAAAATATTTTATTTTATTACATAATACATAACTAATATTAGTGAATATATACTATGTTTTAATATTGTATTCGTGTATACATTATTCAAATTATATATTTCGTAAATTTATTGGTTATTATAATCTAATATCATTTGATTATGTGTTGAGTTAGAGTGAGTTCACTGTTTGCTGAACTAAAATATTATTTTTAATGTTTTTTTTACAATTTTCTCCTAAATTTAGTTAACGTTTAAAATTAAACCATAATTATATGACTTATGAAATAATTATTAGTTTATAAAAAGCAAAACTCATTTAAATGAGTTAAAAATAGTTTCAAAAACTTAATATTTAGAGAATATTACTCTTCAGAAGTGTTCGCAGAGAAAAAGAGAAACAAAACTTAATTATAATAAAAGAGAGTTTCCATAAAAGTGTCGGAAATAATGCGAAAAATATATATTAAAGTATAATTTTGCTTATAATATACACAAGTGTTTCATATAGTGATCAACGGAGCGGACACTGAATTTTTCACTTGAATTTCGAGTAATGATAAGAATATAATTGAAAATATAATAAATTTAAAGGTAAATAAACTATAAAAAATGATGAGAAAAACGACAATATATTTTATATTCAATATAACATTGTTTTCGTACATAAAAAAAAGATTGCAAAAAATGTGACAAAATAAACGAATAATAGATTTATATTAAATATAAATGAGATTCCAATCAATTATTGTTATGTCATTCAAGTGGTCCGTAAATGTGTACACAATTTAAATGATCCATCATTTGAAACAAACGAAGAGAGGAAACGAAAAACAATAATAATATCATATTTAGGGAAAACTATTTGGCGAATAGAGAGAAGTCTTTTCTGAGAATCACTTCGAGAAGTGTTGGCTGTCTTTCAATGTTAAGACCGTTTTGTTTGAATTCAAGCAATCGTTGCTCTAATAGTATTTTGTCGGATCCGCTGCTCCATCGAAGTCTGATGGAGAGTACAATCAATGGCACAACCAATTGGTTAGACTTGTATTCAGTAAAATTTGAGATCAAATGCAACGCCTTTTCGGCAAACCTTTGAGCGTCTGATGTGTTGTCGACGGCATTAAGACAACCAATTAGTACGCATAGTGTGTGTAACAATTGATTCGTGGGTTCTTCGCTGTGGAGGAATAGTTTCTCTTCAATGAAGTAAACGTTTTCGAGAATATTGGAGACGTCTTCGAACTGAAGAGTTTTGAGCTTTTGTTGAGCGTCTCTGAGCTCTGGATAGAAGAGGAATTCAGAGAACTCTCGGGTTGTCCTCAACTCACGGATTGACAGACAATAAGTCAAGAGGTGTTGAAAAGCGACCGATCGTTCGGTTATCACTTCTGGAGTAAAATTTCCGACTAATGTCTTCTTAGGGAACGGAAAGTCTGTCAAAAGTCTTGGAAATCGTTTGCGAAGCGATTGATACAAATGAAGGAAATCTGAATATCGCCTCTCAATGACCGCAGGACTGGTCTCCAGACCGGGAACTCTCTTCACTAAAATAGTATAACAAACGTATTTCTTGCGATTGGAACCGATGGCCATCCGATTCACGGTTTTGGCAGATATTATCTCAAACGTCACCCTATATTGAGACCTCTTCGGTGTGGGACTACCGATGGTGTCGTCGCTCCAGATCTGCACCTTTTTGGCCGTCGACTGAGACTCTTGTGATTGAGATTCACTTTTGACTAATTTATAGCCATTTGTTTCGTTGTCTTCATTATTATTACAGTTTTGATCATTCAATTCATCGACGGTTTGATTGGCATTGAGTCGAAGATTGAGCGAAAGAGCGGACAATTGGTCGCCATTCGGATCCACGTCTTCGTCCAATAGACTCAATGTATTGAACAGATTGTCTTCAATGGATGGCATTTGGGATGAAATGGCACTCATTGTCGAGAATCACAACCGATTTGTTTCACAACATGTTTGCAAAACACAAACTATTTGTTTGAAAACAACAATTAATGTAACGATCGATGAAAACGAGATTCAATCACAACAACCACTCAATGCACTCATCCTATAGTCAGCTGTTGTGTGAATTGTGTTCACGAATGTCATCATTGATGTCATCAACGCATCCAATGTTTGCCCCAATGTTTGTGTCTCTCTCTCTCTCTCTCTCTCTCAACACTCACTCTCTTTCGTCATATTTGTGTAAAACAATTGCAATTCATTCACATCTCTGTCGTAATCACATCCATATATAGTGTGTATTAGGAGTGAGTGTTGACTCCCTCTCACTATTAATATTAATATTTCCTCATTAACTCATTTAAAGGTCTCTTTTAATCGCGAAATAAGTTTTAACACACAATAAGTTTAACGAAACAAGTTTTGAGAGACCTTTAAATTGAGACCAATTATTTCATTATAAATCTTTTTCAACTCATTTTATTAGCGATACGTTTATATTATATATAATTAATTTAAATTAAATTTAAATATCTGTCCAATAGTTTACATACGATTATAGATAACTCTTTTAAGATAAGATTGTCTCAAAATTAGGGCAACATTTCAACGCCTTTGAAACATTTGAACATAAAGTTTTAGGAACTGTTTATATTGTAATCCCTTATCCAAGTGATGAGATTTTTCCCATTAATTAGTGAAATATTTTTAATGAATTGTGCGATTAATTATGGATATTGACAAAAATATTGCACATGAAATGCTAAGTTATGTTAATTTTGATCCCAATTGAAGAATAGAGAGATACAGATATATATGAGTGAATCGATTGTTAAAATATGATTATCTCTTGGGATCGCATGTCTATTAAATGTTAACACAATTTCTGTTGTTTTAAATTTGATTATTTGGCAAATCTGTGGTTGAAATTCACAATTTGTAATTCAAATCACGAAAACTATTTGCAATTCATTTCAATGTAACAAAAGTTTTTATTTTTCGCTTCTAATGAATGAATAGAAAACTTATGTAAAAAAGTGAACGAAATTTGTGAACAAATTGCAGACAAACTTATGTTAAGTTTATTGACAAACAAATAGTCGTGTTTTGCATACAATTTAATACACATTTAAATATTGTATTAATTATTAAAATTAGACACAATTTGATTGAATAATGAATGAAACGATTGATGCAAATGAGACCAAACGGGAAGAACTTCTCGAAAGACATCGATTGGAGAAAAAACAATTGAATGGTTTGTAATAATCATATAGTCTTCACGTGTTGTCATATTTGATGTAATGTTTGGTTTGTATTGAAAGCAATGATAACTGAAATGAGACACAAATGCGATAAAAAAGACAAAAAGAAAAGCAAAGAATTGAAGACACAAATGGAGACAATGACCGAAGAACTCAAGATTAGACAAAGCGCTTTAACTCCGATCCCGATTCACATAAAATCTATTCAAATTACTATATCTCTTACATATGACACCAAACATAGACTATATATAGACAACATGTGTTATTTTAAGAAAAGCTATTTCCCTTGGATTAGATACGCCAAAAATATGACAACTCGCACTAGATGGCTCTGAAACACGAGATATTGCAGTTCCTATTCACATACAACGTGTCTTATAAGTCTAGTTTTTGTTTTACCTAAAGAAAACCCAATACAACCAATCTGCTTTGTAAATATTAAGCCAAGCAAATAATTATTTGCTTTAGAACTTCCAGAACTCCAATTTTTACCATATTTAGCCCTAGAGTTTGTTACAGTGTTACAAACCAAACATAACTTTCGTTACTATTGACTTTACTCTGTGTTTACGCTATTTTTTCTGTTTTTCTTTTCGTTTCTTAACTTCTGTGTTTACCTCTGTTACTGGCTTCTTGAGTTCTAATCTGACGAAAATGAATTGAAAACCCTATCGATTGGTAACCATTCGAGTGAAGAACCGGTCGACAGATTGACGGATCAGTTGAGTGCCGTTAAAGTAGACACAATCGCAAGTGATTTATCCCAAGACACGGAAGTGATAGCAAACGGAATCAAATACAATGAGACGAAGATATCGAAGGCTCAGAAGAGAAGGGATGCAAAGGCTTTGAAAGAGAAACAAAGACAACAACAGATAATTGACGACACGATCGATGACTCAGAAAACGAACGGCTTATCGAAGCGGAAAAGTTGAAGAATATTCTTGTCTCTCGAGGACTGGTAATGCATGACATCGCCTCCGATGGCGACTGTATGTACCGATCAATCGTTCATCAGTTAAGCCTTCAAAACATTACGACCGATGTCTCCGAATTGAGACAAAAGACATGCGATTATATGATGGATAATAAAATAGATTTCATACCATTCCTCACGAGTAATACGACGGGAGATATGATGAGTGACAGTGAATATGAGAACTATTGCAACGATATCGCGACCACTAAGTCATGGGGCGGACAGTTAGAGCTGAGAGCCATTTGCCATATCTTTCGGGTGGCCATTGAAGTGATCCAAAGTGTAGGCAATTCTGTACTTATCGGACACAACGACTCCAACACTGATAGACCTCTTATTTTGTGGTAAATTGTCATAACTATAAAGTTTTGTATTGAATTAACATTTGTTTTGTTAATAGTTATCTGCGATACGCGTATAGCTTAGGAGAGCATTACAATAGTGTCCGCAATAAATAACACCAAATATATGATCACCCGATCAGCATGTGTTTGGTCTCCTCATTAGATATGTCTAATGTTTGAAATGGTCGTCAATTCCCGAATAACCAGTGAAAGGGAATTCAATTAATTGATATTTACACTATTTTTTTATTTTCCCGATTATGACATTTTGTGGAGACCCTTGTAAAGCCTATTTTTACTGTAATAAAATACATTCACATACAGAATGTGTGTATAAAATGTAAATACCGGTTGTAAAATATTAAACTAACAATTCAATTAACATTGTTCTCTATGGGAAAATGGTGTCCACTTGGACTTGCTAAAAAGCGCACATTCTAACGTTATACATTTTATCATACAATATCTGATTATGATTCTGTGAAGTCAGACAGTCGATAGCATGATTGAGCTTAATTATTCTTATAAATACCCTGTTATTTGTTCGTAGTGTCTTTGACTACATTTGTATAATATTGAACACATAGCCATAGCCCCCATATTATTCTATTATATTGTCAGTGATTTGACCACAGTTTCAAACAACCAAAAAAATGAAAACCACCCAGATCACATTCACCGCAAACTTGCCATAAGTTTCCAATAGTTTCTAAAGTTCCAAAAAATTCAAAACTTTTGCAACTATTTATCAATATATGAAATCAAATATTGAGACCATAAGAAACCGGGTTTGGCTGGTAAAATACCTGCTTGGCAATTTACTCTTCATGAAAGGGCGACAACTTCTGGGTGAGTCCTCAGAGTTTCATAACTGGTGAAAATACCGGTAAGTATCGATAACACTGTAGGCTGACCAGATGTCCTCTTTTCAGAGGAATTTCCTCTATTTGGACGTTTTGGTTACTGTCCTCTGAAGGGGTAAAAGAGGACCATTAAGTGTCCTCTATTTCAAATTGCCAAAAATAGAAATTTTTAATAGATTTATTTATAAAAACAAGAATATTTATAGGATTTGTTTTAAAAATAGTAAAATCTGTACAGATTGCTTAATTGGGATTTATTAAAATAACATTTTTAGTCTTTTAACAATTTATTAGTAATGTTGACTATAATTTCTTAGATGCTTTATACAGTATATTTGCTGTACAGAATTAAGTTAATGTAAAAAATAACGCAAAATATTTGTCCTCTATTTTCCTCTTAAATTGAAGGAAATTTTGTCAAATGTACTCTTTTTCAATATCTAAATCTGGTCAGCCTAATTGTGACCCCAATTGTGAGCCAATAATACTTGTAATGGTATTCTCTCTAAAATATGACCGGAGAAGAAGGATTCCACACAAAGAACTAACGATAAATGACACGATCAGTGATCACGGCATCTGTTCAACACATTCTGTTCCTTATAAGTTTATTTAACATGTATGCTGTACTAGTTAATTGAAATGTACCTAGCAACAATTGAATTGTGACCGAAAAGTGAGAATATTAATTTGAAAGTGAAATTGATGATGCACATTTGCCATAAGTGGTACATAACGTAATGGTTATTCAAATTGTACCAGGTTAATCTGTAACCAAATTATGGTAAGCGTTGGGCCAATAGAATAGCGACACACCATTGCATACACACTATATGTGACATAACATACACTCCCATCGCTCGTACACCACTTCACCCGTTATAACACACACTCATTCATATACACAACACTTATGTTTACTGTTTATACAATATTTGAGATGATTTAATACATTTCATACATTTTATAATATCATGCAATTAATGATGCGATTAATTGAACGATTGGTCAACAATAGAGTGTATGTTATAAATAGGTTATAGTGTTTGACGCTATACTCATACATACAATACATGTACGGCATATACGGTATATGTTATGTATTGTTTGCATTCAAAATACATAGACTTTCACATCAGTTGTCATTTAAATTGTGTACAAAATATCGCTGTTATTAAAGGCAAATACGGTTTGAATTAAACGTTGAAATATTAAATGAAATTATATGTTGTGTTTAATTAAGTGTTTGTTTTAATATAAATATTGAATTCAATCATAAGATTTGGTGTAAACCAGAGGTAAGCCAATCGGTTGTGACCTTCAATACAGTAACCATTGATTGCAAAATCACTTTTCAATACAAACATTGCATTCATTTTGCAATTCAATTAGTTTTGCATTTATTTTCATTTCAAATCCTATTAATTATAATGTATTTATAGTCAAACAGATGTCAACAGAGATTGTAATTTCAATTATTTATCCCTATATTACTAGTGCTTTATTACCAGTAATTGTCTCAATAATACCATTAATAATATTTGATTACCAAATTAAATGCTGTTTTATTAATCAATTAATTATGGTTTTAATTTTACAGGAAAACTGATACTTAATTAGAGATATAAAATGGTTTTCATTGATATTGTAATCAAAGCCCCGAACCAGAAGCTCGACGACCAGACCTTCCGGTGCTCTCTCGAGTGGACTGTCCTCTCATTGAAGACACACTTGTCGACAGTCTATCCCTCAAACCCCGTAAGTCTTACCACCGATTGTCTTAAGCATTCAATCCAAATATGTTTTCATATATTTTGTTCATTATAT